ACTCGCCTGCCGTGCAGTTGCCATCACTCGCCTGCCGTGCAGTTGCCATTACTCGCCTGCCGTGCAGTTGCCATCACTCGCCTGCCGTGCAGTTGCCATCACTCGCCTGCCGTGCAGTTGCCATTACTCGCCAGCCGTGCAGTTGCCATCACTCGCCTGCAGTGCAGTTGCCATCACTCGCCTGCCGTGCAGGTGCCATCACTCGCCTGCAGTGCAGTTGCCATCACTCGCCTGCCGTGCAGGTGCCATCACTCGCCTGCCGTGCAGTTACCATCACTGGCCTGCCGTGCAGTTACCATCACTCGCCTGCCATGCAGTTGCCATCACTCGCCTGACGTGCAGTTGCCATCACTCGCCTGCCGTGCAGTTGCGCTCGTCTGATGTGTCGTGGCAGTCGGGGCCGCCGTCGCAGCGCAGGCGAGCGGCCACGCATTCCCTGCCGCTGGCGCAGGCGAACTCCCCAGCCGCGCAGTCGCCTGCGCAGACGACGCAGGAGATAACGTTACATGATATGTTATTGTTATTAATAATGCTATAATAATATTGATGATAATAAAATAATGAAAATAACATATTATTACTATTATTAAATTGCTACAATATGATGTTAAATTATGTTGAAAAGTATTATTATTTATTTTAAGCATAAAATGGTTAATTAGCAGATACTTTTAAGATAAAAATTTATTCGATTTTTCTGTCAACGCAAAAAAAGAAGCCTACGTCAGGTTGTATATTTATTTGTTAATTTATATATTGAATATTCATGTTCAAATGATAATTTAATAATTTTCATTAAATTCTAAACAAATTTTCAATTCAAAGAAAATTTTCCGATTACGCACGCCCTCTGGATTGGCGACACTCAGAGAAATGAGTAAAACTTTGTTCTAATAGCGATACACTTTTTCCCCTCACTTTTCAAAGTTTCCCTCACTTTTTCCCCTCACTTTTCCCCTCAAATGAGTCACTTTTCGGACAATATATGACCCATTCAATCTCCTCACTCATGAAAATGAATGGGTCATATTGCACTAATAACGACTCACTTCTTAACCACAACACGAGTAGAAAGCGAACGCAGCACAGACTAGCCAGTCTAAACTGGGTCAGGATGACCCACATGAGAGTGATGCACTCACCGCTGGCGGTTGCCACGCAGTCGCGCTCATCACTGTTGTCGCCACAGTCGTTGTCGCCGTCGCAGCGGAAGAGGGGGGCGACGCACCCCCCGTTGCCGCAGCTGAACCCCCGACACTCGCCTGCGGGGGTTCAGAGGTTCAGGGATTCAGGGGTTCAGGGGTTCAGGGGTTAAGGGGTTCAGGGGTTCAGGGGTTCAGGGGTTCAGGGGTTCAGAGGTTCAGAGGTTCAGGGGTTCAGAGGTTCAGGGGTTAAGGGGTTCAGAGGTTCAGGGGTTCAGAGGTTCAGGGGTTCAGGGGTTCAGGGGTTCAGAGGTTCAAGGGTTCAGGGGTTCAGGGGTTCAGGGGTTCAGAGGTTCAGGGGTTCAGAGGTTGAGGTTCAGGGGTTCAGGGGTTCAGAGGTTCAGGGGTTCAGGGGTTCAGAAGGGGAAGTATTGGGTTCAGTGGCATATCTTCATAAGATCCCCCAGGCAACAAGCACCCGGAGTTCGTTTCCGTACACCAAACCAAGGACATGCTGAAGCATCACCTTTGACGGCTATCAAGCGTCGCCCACCAGCATCACCGAGAAATGAACTGAGCTTAACAGTGGTACAGTTGGCCTCACCAGCGGTACAGTTGGCCTCACCAGTGGTACAGTTGGCCTCACCAGCGGTACAGTTGGCCTCACCAGCGGTACAGTTGGCCTCACCAGCGGTACAGTTGGCCTCACCAGCGGTACAGTTGGTGCGGAACAGTTGACCTCACCTGCGGTACAGTTGGCCTCACCAGCGGTACAGTTGGCCTCATCGCTGCCGTCACGACAGTCGGGGTGACCGTCGCAGAGATGGGTCACTGTGATGCACTTTAGGTTCCCGCATTGGAATTCGCCCGCTGAACAATCGCCTAGAAAAACGGCATAAAACTTGCATTTTTATGCAAACTTTGCAACTGTGGGAGAAAATATTTAAATATTAATGCTTTAAAAAGCGACTCAGGATATGATTGAACTTATATTGATGTAAATAAAAATGATTATAAACATTTAAGTTTCATTATTTTAGGGTAACCTCTCTATGTCAGGGTAAGAACAAAATTCTCGGGAGAAATCACAGTTTGATGTAAACTCAAATTTTAGGGTAACTTCCCATTTCTGAGTTGACACCATAATTTAGGGTGACACCACAATTTTAGGTAACATTATGATTTTAGAGTGACATTGTAATTTTTTATTTGACACCACAATTGTTAAGAAGACGTATCATCTTAAGGGAACATTACAATTATAGGGTAACAATACTATCTCTAGGTGATATGGTTATTATAGGGTGACAACGTAATTTTAGGGTAGCAGCACAATTTTAGGGTAACATTATAATTTTAGGGTAACAATAGAATCTCTAGGTGCTATGATTATTATAGGGTGACGACGTAGTTTTAGGGTAACAACAAAATCTTAGGGTAACATTACAATTTTTGGGTAAGAATACTATCTCTAGGTGCTATGGTAATTATAGGGTAACAACGTAATTTTAGGGTAATAGCACAATCTTAAGGTATTATGTAAGCAGACGACGTGTATAACTGACAGTCGCCCTCGTCACTGTTGTCGCCGCAGTCGTTGTCGCCGTCACACACGTAATGCGTGGGGATGCATCGTCCTGACGTGCACCGGTGCAGACCGCGGCTACACGTGCCTGTGAACCAGACGTCGGTTCAGCGCGTGAACCAATCAACCATATCAATTATTAATTATAGTCTTTGAAATTAATTAAATCAAAAGCCGAACCAGGGTTCATCGTATGAGAATATGAACCATTTCATTTATTAATGATATGGTTCATATTAATGAAACGCATCAAACCATTTCATTTATTAGTAAACTAATCTAAACTCCAATTAACAATTCAATGACCCGTGAGTGGAGCAATACTAGAATATCACTTTCCTAAGTCATAAAATATAACAAGCGCCATATTTACCCTCTATATAATTTAATTACTTGTCAATTTCTTTATAATACTCAAGACGCTCTTCACAAATGGAAGCAAAACTCAACCCCATAAGGGGAATAGCTTCATTTTAAAGTTTATATTGACTATAAAAGGTTAATTAATGTAAACAAAAGGTTAATTTAATTGACCATAACTTACGGTCAATTAAACAAACAAGTTAAACATTCTCGGACACAATCTTTATAATCAGTTCAACAGATGTTGCGAATACATTAGCGTAGATGTATAACATTACGTCTAATTTTCTTTTCAATTTTAGAATTTAGCAGATACTGATGAAGTAAGGAAAACTTTAATTTTCGATTAAGATTGAGAACAAAAGACGAAGAATCACTCATAGCTTTACTCACAATTGCTCATAGCTTTACTCACAATTGAACTCATCGCTGCCATCCAAACAATCGTCCTCGCCATCGCAGCGCCACGAGCGCAGCACACAGCGGCCGCTGCTGCACCTGAACTGCTGCTCCCCACACGCCTCTGCGCACCCAACAATTACTGCTGTTATATTTACCTTATGTATAATTAACGCAATATTTACCCTACATATAATTAACTCAATATTTACACTGCATATAGTTAACGCAGTATTTACTGTATATATAATTAAGGCAATATTTATCTTATATATAATTTACGCAATATTTATCCCTTACATGATTAACGCAATATTTACACAATATATGATAAACGCCATATTTATACAATATCTAGACAACATATAATTAAGATGATATTTACACAATATTTAAATAATATATAATTGACGGAATAACATAATAATAACGCATAAATTATACAATATATAATTAACGCAAAACTGTGCGACCAAGAGTGTGCGACTATGACTACGTGACCAAGACTACGTGATCAAGACTACGTGACCAAGACTACGTGATCAAGACTACGTGACCAAGACTACGTGACCAAGACTGCGTGATCAAGACTACGTGATCAAGACTACGTGACCAAGACTACGTGATCAAGACTACGTGATCAAGACTACGTGACCAAGACTACGTGATCAAGACTACGTGATCAAGACTACGTGACCAAGACTGCGTGATCAAGACTGCGTGATCAAGACTGCGTGATCAAGACTACGTGATCAAGACTGCGTGATCAAGACTACGTGACCAAGACTGCGTGATCAAGACTACGTGATCAAGACTGCGTGACCAAGACTGCGTGACCAAGACTGTACGACCAAGACTGCGTGATCAAGACTGCGTGACCATGACTGCGTGACCAAGTCTGCTTGACCAAGACTGTCCCACCAAGACTGCGTGATCATGACTGTACGACCAAGACTGCGTGACCAAGACTGCGTGACCAAGACTGCCATGACGCCATAAACGCTGTCCTTGCTGCCCCGCCACCGCCGATCGCATCAGCGGAGACCTCACTCCCCCGCCCCTACCGCTCAGCGTTATCCCAGCTCCGCTCGGGATACTGCAGCTCCCTGGCGTCCTATTCTGCCAGGATCGGACGCTCCCTTAGCTCCGCCTGCCCGGAATGCGGGGACCCCCTCCAATCTGTTCAGCACCTCTTCGCCTGCCCAGCCTTCTCCACGTCTCTCAGCGTCTCCTCACTGTGGGACAACCCCGTGGAGACAGCGGCTTTCCTGGCCACCCTCCCTGCCTTCGCCCATCTCCCCCCTCTTCCGGTGCCGACCCCTCGCCCACCACCAGAGCCTCCCCCCCGGCAAGCGTGACGGTCGCAATAAACAATAACAACAAGACTGCCATGACTGACGCGTGGTGTTGCCGCAGTGGGCCTCGTCGCTGCTGTCGTCGCAGTTGCTGACGCCGTCGCAGCGCAGGACGACGGGCAGGCAGCGGCCGCCGTCGCAGCGGTGGCCGCGGCAGGCCGGCCCTGAGCCTGCGGTGCGCAAGATTATACTTGCGCGTTTTTGACACAGCGTGTCGGATATTGGCTGAATTTGAAAAAAAAACAGGCAAAAGTGACATGAATTGGGCCTCATGGCTCTCAACTCAACTATTCTTAAGTTGGGTCAGGTCCCAAATAAAAAGAGTTGATCAGGCATATATAATTATTAATTAACTATTAATAGTAGCCAATAAAAATTTTCTGATGGCTGACGTGAGCTCCAATCTCTTGACTATTATTGATTATAATCGATAATGATTAAAGAATAATTTATCATTCAGAAAGGATAGCTTCAAATTAATTATTCATTTTTGATAATTTGCTAAATGTTAATTCCTAATTTATTACGTATTTACGGTAATCTGTAACTGTTAATAGATAATCATTATAGATTATATTCGATATTAATTAATGCTATTTATGATAATCTGTAACTGTTAGTACATATTTCATTGTAGCTATTATTTGGTAATAATCAATACACAATCAGTGGCACGTGACTACGGCCACCAGCTCACAGTCACGCTCGTCGCTGCCGTCACCACAGTCGTCGTCACCATCACAGACGTAGCGCCACGTCACGCACTTGCCGGTACCGCACTCATGTTGTCCCGTGCACAACCCGCCACCGCCTGCACGTTAATTACACTCATCTTTATTATTATTAAAATAATGTAATATTTATATAAAATAATTAGTTTAATCAGACTTACAGTATATAAATAAATGATATAATATTTATATAATATACCCAGTTTAATCAGACTTACAGTATATAAATTAATAATATAATATTTCTATAACATGGCCAGTTTAATTACACTTACAGCATATAAATTATTAATAAAATAACTCTATAACATAATATAATTAAAACACAATATAATAATATTAAATAGTCCTGACTATTCAATAATCACATAGAGAACGTCTCTAGCTTTGACTCGTCACTACTCACAGTGTAACTCGTCACTACTCACAGTGTAACTCGTCACTACTCACAGTGTAACTCGTCACTGCCATCGCCGCAGTCTGCGTCACCATCACACCGATATCCTGCGAGGACGCAGCCGCCGCCTGCGCAGGCGAACTGGGAGGCGCTGCAGGAATCGCCTGTGCCTGCGTGCAGGCGAAAAAATAATTCTAAAGTTTATTTCACCCAAAAAATTTTTTACGTTAACTGTCGCCTTATCAGGTTTGAAAAAGTTAAAAATATTATTTATCAGGTTAATACTTTAGAACGTTGTAAAGCCATGAAAGGTTCACTCGCAGTTTATTACTAGAAGGTTTACAAAATATTATCAATTGTGATATGTTTCTCAATAAATAAAACATGTCAAAATACTTTTAAAATATATTTGTTGTTTTTTGCATGAAATAAAAACATACTAAACCTACTATACTAAAAATATAGCTCTTGTTTTGTATAAATATAAACAATGAATATATGTTAAAAAATAAAAATATATTAGAAATAAATATACGTTACAGATAAATATATGTTAAAAATAAAAATATGTTAAAAATGATTATATCTTATAAATAAATATATGTTACATATAAATATATTTTTTAAAATAAATATATGCTAAAAATAAGATATATCATTGTACGTTAGGAAGGCTGTCACTGACAGTTACGCTCGTCGCTGCCGTCCCCGCAGTCGTCGTCACCATCACAAAAGTAGGTCGCCCTGACACACCTTGCGTTCTGGCAGCGGAACAAGCCTGCGCCGCATGAGCTTCCTTCGTTGCCTTCTGCTAGCGCTTATTAATTATTATTGTTTATTTATTATTGTTAATCTCAATTTTTATATCAAGTGATTTGAAAGAACTAAATATTGTGAATTTTTTGTTAATTGGAATGGCATATTATTATGCTGATAATTATAGTGTTTATAACATGGAAATTATTGACAAGGAAATTATAGCATTAAAGCAGCGTGGACATCACAGTGATGCACACCACGCACCATGGACATCACAGTGATGCACACCACGCACCATGTACATCACAGTGATGCACGCCACGCACCATGGACATCACAGTGATGCACGCCACGCACCATGAACATCACAGTGATGTTCGTCGGACAGGTCCGGACAGTCAGGGTCGCGGTCGCATCGATATGATGCAGGAATGCAGCTGCGGTCACCGCACAGGAAGCCAGTTCTGCAAGCCTCTGAACATAATTAAAGGAATAAATATTAGTTTTGATTTAATTTTTAGTTATCTACTAAAATCAAGGAATATGATAATTTTACACCTGTATTAGCTGAATAATTCATGTATTCGTTTCAGAATTAGGCCATTAACACGTTGACTACGATTGCTTCATCTTGTACTTATGTTTCACTTTTCTAGTACTATTATGGAACAGGGTTGCCAGACTTTCTTTTTTTACCGGACAAATTCCGCGATTTAGTTTTTTCAATTTAGGTGGTCGGCTAAAATTTATGATAGGGGTTGTAAGGGGCGCTTCCTAATTAAATAAAAAAAATTGAATTTTTACACCGGAACCAACAAAATTAATATACTAGTATATATTGAGTTATAGGCCTTTTTGGCCTTTTTGTTCACGGACTTAATTGGCCGTTTTTAGGCCATCTGGCAACCCTGAATTATGTACCAGGAGAAATACATTTCGTGGTACGCATATATACCAATACGTAGTCAACGTGTTAAGCGATATTGCCGCAAACAAACTTGGATTTCAAGCGAAGTCTGTAGAAATTTAGCTGAAATTTTGGTCAATAACTGTAGTAATTTTAGGCATGGGGTTTGGTTGTTTATAAATTCGGTAATTAACAGGTAGCCTGCGAAAACGAGATTGGATCTCTACCAATTTCAAAAATTTATAAATTTCACAGCTGCGTATTGGCAGTACTAATTCCAGGTTAGTGAAAGCACTTGTTTATAAATTTAGTTACAAAGAATCAAGCTACTAAATAAAAATCTAAGTGGATTTTTGCACCGAAAATCCAACCCTTTATATTGTTTTTTTTAATATGACAAGGTCCTCTAACTTGTTCTACACTCATTCTGGACACATCAAAATTATTTGAAATTGGAAACTGCGAACGCCAGTTGCCTTTTTGGTGGCCAGACACCTCATCATGCGAGACATTTCATCACAATAGCATAGAAAACTATTAAAATTAAACTTAAAAATTCCCCCAAGCCATAGAAATTTATTAACTTTAAAACAGCAAAAATGCAGTTCAAATTTCACGAGTGTTAGTTCAGCAGTTGCTGGAAAATAATTAGTATAGGTACATTCGAGTTTTTACTCAAGACTCTTGAAGAAATAGACTTGGTACTTACCAAACCGTTAGAATATTACTAATAAATATGCAAAACAGTTTCAAGGCTTCCATGGCTGGCTGTTTCTGAATAGAAAGCAAAATTATGCAAAATTTACAAATTAAACTTTTTCGAAAAGAATGGTGTTAAAAAAACACGTGAAAAAATTCTTTCTTTGAGTTCATAATTAATACTAAAATAATACATGCCTAAAAAGCTTGATTGATTGATTGATTGATTGATTTTTAATTGCCAGCCTATATTAGGTACGTTAATTGAATCCAAGTTATGATCTTAGTCTGTTTCAGCAGAAAAATACTGACAGGTTACACGAAAAAAGTTACAATACTGACAGGTTACAGACAGGTTACACGACAAAAGGTTACAATACTGACAGGTTACATGACAAAAGGTTACAATACTGACAGGTTACATGACAAAAGGTTACAATACTGACAGGTTACATGACAAAAGGTTACAATACTGACAGGTTACATGACAAAAGGTTACAATACTGACAGGTTACATGACAAAAGGTTACAATACTGACAGGTTACATGACAAAAGGTTACAATACTGACAGGTTACATGACAAAAGGTTACAATACTGACAGGTTACATGACAAAAGGTTACAATACTGACAGGTTACATGACAAAAGGTTACAATACTGACAGGTTACATGACAAAAGGTTACAATACTGACAGGTTACATGACAAAAGGTTACAATACTGACAGGTTACATGACAAAAG